TCTCTCTCCGAGGCCTCCAAGGACCCGTCGGCTTCCTCCGAAGGCACAGACTTCTTCAGCTCCTGCTTTCTGGAGGGCTCCTCTCCCTCTCCCTGCTCGCCGCCGACTGCAGCCTCCCTTTGCAGAGGAAGCAGCACAGCCCGGCTGCTCCCAGCCCCGGTCCTGCGAAATCCCACCAGCCGGCTCACCGCCTTCTCGCAGTTCTTCTCCGCCGGGTTGTCTAGGAGGCGAGCGATGACAGTCGTGCCCTCCTCGAGGAAATCCCCCGGGAGCCCCGCTCCCACCCACCGGGGCTCCAGCACCAGGTGAGCTTTCCGGACCTCCCCTTGAAACCTCTCTTTCACCTGTACGACGTGCCCCTGGGGCGGCGCGCCCGGGCCGGGATGAGGATTCGCGGCTGGCGAGGTGTCTCGGCGTAGGCTCTCTGGGCTCTCAGCAATTTCCCCTCCTCCCTCTTGCCGAACAGCCGCTTTGAAGTTCAATGCCTCCACCTCTCCAGCCGCCTGGGTACCCGCCGAGGGCTGCTCCTTCTCCGGGCTTGCCTCTGGCACCATCCTCTTCTTCCCCCTCCACTTCCGTTTGAAGCGAACCCTTTTTTTGGGGGACAGAGGAGCCTTCCCCGGTCCGGCAGCTGGTTCTTTCGGCTCCTTAACGCAACCCAGAGAATTCCCCATCTCTTCCGCGCAGCAGGCACCGGCACTAATGCAGCTAAGCTGGTCTCGGGCTCCCGAATAAATCCTAACCTCCGCTTCATCAGATTAGATGCACAGTCTAAAACACGCAGTACTGCGGGCAATCCCTCATCGTCTCTCCCCCTCTCTCTCTCGCATGCACAGAGTCTCTTCCCAGCCGCTGCCGCTCCAGACAGCCATCTTACAGACTGGGAGCTGCAACAAGACAAATTCAAAGCATCTCACTGCAGTTCAGAAATCACTTGACCTAAAAGCAGACGGAGTCCGGATTGGCTGCAGCTTTCTCTCTCCAAATATGAGGTAATTGGAGCACGGCCCTCAGCAACACAAACAGAGAGCAGGAACCAGACAGAAATAAGGGAAAGGGAGGGAGGGGGAGGCAAGGGGAGGGTGTAGTGGAGTCGGGGGGGGATGAGAAAGGAGGGAGGAAAGTAAGAAAAGGGGAGGCTGGTGAAGGTAGCATAAAGAAAGGGGTGGGGGAGAAATCAGAAGCAGCAGGGAGGAGCCGGCGTGACTCGGCGAGCGTGCCAAAAGGAAATCCCCCGGCCAAGTGGCGTGGGCAGCCCGCGGGCACCTGCCCTGGGTGACAGGTAGGGTGTGTGCTCGTGCACGTCCGACGCTGGCCCCCCGGGGCTGAAGGTGGACAGCTGAATGCCAGCGCAGGAGCTCCTGGCGCCGAGGGGTGGCACGGGGTGGGGTCTGACCCCTGCAGAAGGGCTAGCTGGTGCTATGGGGCCTCCGAGGGACCCCGTGCATCTCGGGCACCCTCGGGAGAAGCCAACTCCCTGGGTGCCGAGAGGTTAAATACACAGCACGCGCGATAGCAATTAGCAGGGCTGGTATAGGGACCATCCTGCCTTGCTTCTGCTGATGCCCATGGGGAAGCCGCAAGCCCCTGCATCCCCAGGGGATCTCCCACCAGCGCCCTCCACCTTGCACATGGGACCAGAAGCTCCCCCCTTGCTCCCCTTCACGCTGGCGAGCAAACCCCAGCAAGGCAGGGCTGGGAAGAGAAGGACCTCACACCTGCCTGCCTCAAAGAGCAAGGGAGGGGCTGCCTCTTGGGTGGTAGGACAGGGAGCCCCGTCTGCCACACAACACACCCCTTCACCCTCACCCTGCCCTGCACCGCGGAGGTCAGATAAGCACGGTCACATACGACACTGCCAGCAGGGCCACGACCACTCGCCAAATCTCCAAACCCATGCCCGGGCTCAGACACAGCAACCTGGGGGCATCCCCTCCATCCCAGGGACGGCCTTTCCCCAAAGCAAGGCTCCCCGCTTCCATTTCAACCAGCAAGGGCTCAGGATCCTCCAGCGTCGGGCTGCCGGCCCGCGTGAACCAGCCCTGCGGGGACGGAGCCGCGGCACGCAGCCGCTCGCGGGGCAGGGAGGCAGGAGCATCCAAGCCAGGAGGGAGGCGACGAGCTCAACAATGGAGCTGCCTCCCCAAAAGAAATCTCTTTATTCCCGGCAGACAGAGAAAAAAGGCTCCTCTCAGGGAGCAGGCGCCACTGAGAGCGCGCAAGCTGCCCGTGCCAGCCCGGCTACCCTTAAACAAATCCCCCCTGCGCTGGGAGGTCTCGCATCCTTCCCAGGGAGAAGTGGGTGAGCGGAGCCGTGGCGCTCTCCCGTGGACCAAAGCCCGGGCCCGCTCAGCTGCAGGACGACAGCACCACCTAGCGTCCACCGTGGCCTTCAGAAACAACCGCCCCAGCCCTCCGGAACAGCAGCCACGGGGGACAGCTCAGCAGCCCGGCCCCCCAATGACCAGGGCCAGATTTCGGCAGCTCACTCCACGGGACCCGAGGAGCTCAAGGCGGAGGGGGTGCGGGCAGAGGGGCAAGCTCCCCCACCGCCCGCCTGGGTTTGGAAGCCGATTCCTTTGTCTCCTTTTGCTCAGGAGAAGCTAATGCTCAAACCAGCGGCCACACGGAGACCAGCAATGACTGACCTGACTAAGAGGCCTGATATCCCTCGCGCCCGCGGAAGGAAGCGGCTCCTCTCGCATGCCGATCCTGCTCCGCTCTGCCCCGTCCTCAGCCCCCAGCACAATCGAGCAGCAATCTAGTTCACCGGCTTAGGCAGGTCCAGGCTGCCCGACGCTCACGCAGGATGGACAGGGGCTTTTCTCTGTGGCCGCAGGGGACAGCACGAGGAGCAATGGCCTCAGGCTGCAGCAGGGGAGACGAGGCTGGAGACGAGGAGGAACTTTCTGACGACGAGGGTGGTTGAGCATTGGAACAGGCTCCTCCGAGAAATTGTGGCATCTCCAAGTTTTCAAAAGCAGGTTGGACAGACACTCGGCTGGGATGATCCTGCCCTGAGCAGGAAGCGGGACTAGATGTGATGTTGCGAGGTCCCTGCCAGCCCTACTTTCCTCTGATCCCACGATCCCATTCACGGGCGTGACGCCCTCCTTCAGAGAGATGCAAGCCTGCATCTTGCACAGCAATGGGCTGAGCTCCCCGAGATAGGCAGGGAAGCCCACATGGGCTTGAAGGGAACAGCAAGGCTGTACCAACACTGCAGAGCTGTTGCAGGGACCACGTACTCTGACCCAAGGGGCATGTGCACCCCTCATCGTGGAGACCTTCTGCCTCGCTGCGACCGATCGATTTGTTCCCAGCTTGTGAAGGTGCCGTTCAAACCGCGCACCCTGGAGCAGGAGGGGCTGGCGAGTCATGTCCCACTGCAGCTGCGCCAGCCCTCTTGTACGGGCCAGAAAGATTCATGCAGCGGAGGAGGAGGAAGACATTCGCTCTGCTTGAAACACCATGACAGGGCCTGGTTTACAGGGCACCCGTGCACTCTTCGCACACCTTGAATCAAGGACCCCTCCCAACCACTGGTCTGAGGCACGGGGTTGCACCCATGGAGGGAGGGAGTGAACGGGATGTAGTCAGGAATGTGTCCACGGGGGCAGGGGACTAGTGGGGAAGAGCTGCTGGCATCAGACAGCACATGCCAAACTGGAAACTCAGGGCCCCAGGCGCACACTGTCCCTATACGGAGGCCTGGCCTTGCATCCACAATAAAGGCAACCTCCGACCACCTTGCGAGCGAGGAAGCAGGGTGGTTGGAGTGGTGACCGTGCCCGAGAGAGCCGTCCGTGCTTCAGCCCTCAGGCCAACAGGGGCATGGCAACACGGCGGGCAAAGGCTCTCTCAGGCTGTGCCCAAACTGCAAGGGAGAGACCCCCACACAGCTGCGGGAGGCCTGCATTCGGGAGACGGGCGAGCTTCCCTCATCAGGCCAGTGCCGAATGCTCAGGGCACATGACCGTGCTACCAAAGCCTGTGCTGCTGCTCAAGGAAAATGGACAGGGCAAGTGGCGTGTTCCTGGGAGCTCCCAGACACCGTCGCAGAAAACCATCCGCTGCATCCCAGCCACGCTGCGTTCAGCAAACCAAACTCCGCAGAACCCAGCCGGTGCTGGGTCTGCCCTCTCCGAGCAGAACAATTTAGCTCCCGTCAGTGGGAAAACGGTGCCTGGATTATCCAGATCTCATGTTCATGAACCAGCCAACAATGGTCACCAACAGCGAGGGGAGCTCTGCAGCGAGGAATGCCTCTCACGAGCTCCCCTGTCCCTCCAGAGCGCTGCGATGAGGAAAACTCATATCCCTCACAGAGCCGCTGTCAACAAAAGGCTATTGCTGGGGTGGGAGATGAGGAGGGGGGATTGGATGCCACAAAACCACATCCTGGCAACCTGCAGCCATTGGAGACCCCATACCCTAGGTTTCAAGGGCAAGGATGTCATGGTCTCTGTGTCACGGGCAATGACAACTTGAGCCATTAACTCTGCCCCGCTAAACTCCTGGCCCTTCAGCTGGGCAGGGCAACCTCTCCCTGACTCAAGTCCTGAGCCATGCATAGACGATGCGCAGACTCACTACACGAAGTGCACAGGGAGCCCATCATGTCCCCCTGCCATGTGCACATGAAGAAATGTCTTTCCCCACTCTTCCCCAAATTTGCTCTGTCCACCCCAGCCCGGTGAAGTGCAGCTCTCTGGCTCAGCTGAGCAAACAGCAACTACCAATAACCTCGGTGCCAATCAGAGGGCCGCGGCGCACAGAACTCGTCATTAATGATTTAATTATGTAAATGGCCAGAGACGGGAGTTGTTATTCTCAGACGGCCCCGGTCTCCATGACACTGCTGCACATGCTAATCCTCTGGACTGATCCAGATACCGGTGTTACCAGCACGGTACACGCAGACCCTAGGCAGCAGGAGGAGGTCTGGAAACACAGAACGCCCCTCTTTCTGCTCCACAAGGGAGAAGACACGTCCCTACCTGGAAGTGGAGGATAATCGTCCATATGAGCCCCAGGGTGAGCTTGGGATTGCCATCTGTAATGTCATCGTTGCGAATGTTCACCAGCTTCACCTAGAAAGGAAGCAACAGGGCTGTCAAAACTCCTCATCAGATGCACCCAGAGAGGCCACCTCTGCCCTCAAGCCTTCCCCCCGCCCCACCTCCTCCCCACGCGCGCACCTGGGAGGTGCAACCTCTCTGCACAAATGCAGAGCTGAGCCTCAAAGCTCTGGGGTTCAGCCCCAGCGCTGCCAATGACTTGCAGGACGGTCGCCACACAAGGCACTCTGTGCCCCATCAGAAAAAAAAGAGGGTTACAAAGAGCACTTCTCAGTTCTCAAATGCCTCCGGCCCCAGGGTCTCAAAGGGCCTTGCTAGCTCTTTATCATGCAATTCAGGTCAGGGGGAGGCATCCTTTGTATCACGCCCTACGCACCTGTGCACAATGGAAAATCTGTCGCCCACGTAGCCTGGATAAAAGAGGGCACCCAAATTCTCAGCCCTCTCTGGCACTGCAAAGTCAGTCCACCACTGAGCTAAGCCTCAGGTTGCAACGTGCTAGGGAACAAACAGCACGAGTCCTACCCCTGCTTTGGAGGTGAGGGATGGGGAGAGCTACAGCATTTTCTGCGGGAACTCTGAGGCAGAGCAGAGAAGGGAACACTGCTCCCCATCCTCATGACTCCCAATCTTGTGCCTTAGTTAGAGAAACACTTGCCCTGCACCTCACCAGGCGTTTGGCAAGGACCCTACTCTCTCTAGTTGGGGAAACGAGCTGAGCTCCAGGAGGCAGAAGATGCTATGAATCCGCCCAAGTGTCACCCCCATCTTCAGGGCTCCCTGCTAACAGAAAGCAGTGGCCACTGGCTTGCTGGTTGATCCTGCTGCCTCGCAGGGCGTCACCTTGCTCCCCATGCCTCTCCGCCACCTTTATCACCCGGCTGCCAAGCATCCAATGCCCATCACCATGTGCTCCCCAGAGAAGACTCTCTAGGGGTCAGCAGGGCCCATTTCCAACCCTTCCCAGAACTGGGATCTCATGACTGATGGGCCTTTGACCACACCTAACCCTTGGTGCGTTGGAAGTTCCCGGATATCGCTGCCAACAGCATTCCAGGCAAAACGTCCCGGCATGCCCTCTGCCGCGATGCCACGAACTTCAAAGGAGAGAGCTGTCTCATTCGGGGTGTGGGGTATTGAAGTACACTCCCTAGGGCCTCTGGCAAAACAAGTGCATTGCTGGTGAGGGGCTGGGGGCTTTGAAGCTGTCCCCTCCCCAACCCCCCGGAGCGGTGTGCGAGCTCTGTGCCAGAAGGGGAAGGAAACCTCTGCTTCGGCATGAATCATTACAGCTTCATTTTATCCTCCTCCCCGATCCTGAGAGCGTCATAGCTAAAGGGAACCCACAAAACAGGCAGAACAGGACGCCTAGCCCCAGGAAGAGGCAGCATTTCACCTGCAAACAGCAGGAAACTTGGGCTGTGACTGCCTTTGCTCATGGGCTGAGTAACAGCTGCTAACAGTGGCCGATTGCCTGCCCTTGAGGAAACACCCCAGAGCCTGCAAGAAAAGACCTGACCGGCCCAGCATTTCCTGAGCGCCGAGCAGGATGTGAGAGGCATCTGCTGCAGCTGGGGCTGGCCAGGTCAAGGACACCAAGGTTTGTCTTCCCTGTAGTTGGGCACGTGGGGGCAGCACACAACAGAGGCCCAAGCTCCTTTTAACCTTGTTCAAACAGGCACCAAGAAGCAGTGAGCCATGGTCCACGTTCTACTGTGGGTACTTCCCATGCATCTGGCTTTCCTGGGTGCCCCCTTTCCACTCCATGTGCCAAGGTTTTTTAAGCCTTCCTCAGTGGTGCTGGGTGTTGGCTGCAGCCGAGGCTGGGGGTTTTGACTGGGCCGTGCCAATGCTCCTGTTGGGACTAAAGTCAGAGGTCTCGCCTCTCTGCTCAGGGATAGACCGATGCCATCTTTGGGCTCAGGAAGGAATTTCCCCCCGTGGTCAGATTGATAGGGACTGGGGGGGGTTGCACAGACTGATGTTGCGTCAGGGGTGACAATAGTTTAACAAAGAGTTTAAATGATGGATTTGCATGGGATGTTTGGATAGGGTTGCTCCTGCCTCAGGCAGGGGGCTGGACTACATGCCCTCTGGAAGTTGCTTCCAGCCTAGCTTCGCTATGATTTCTATGGCAGCAGGGAGCTCAGCCCTCCAAGTACCCAGAGTGCCAGGTGAGGCAGCAGAGCCTGCATTGAAGCCTGTGCCACACTGCTGCATAACTGTGGGGTCCCCACCCAGCTAGACTGCAGGTAGCTCGTGCACACTTGCAACCAGGCGCCCAAGCACCAAAGCCCCGGGGGGCTCTAAAGAGCAGCAGAGGTGACTGGGCTGTGAGGCTGGCAGAGTACTTCCTGCATTTAAAACCCCAATTCTGGTTTGGATACTGGTCTCCAGGCAGAGGGGACCATACTGGGTGAGCACCACAAAGGAGACCTCTCTATAGCACTATTGTTAACCAGCATGTGAACATCACAGTGATGGGCAAAGAGCAGCACGAGAATGACCACCAGACTGGGTCAGATAAAGGATCCAGCCAGCCCAGCAGCCTGTCTCTGGTAGTGGCAAGTAGTGGGTCCTTTACAGGAAGACTATTACAAATAGGGCACACATAGGGTGATCCATGCCCCACCAGACACTCCCCAGCCCCCCTGGACCTTCTCCTTCATAACCCCCATCTAAGCCTTCTTTGAGCCTAGCTATGCTACTGGGCTTCACCACACCCCACAGCCATGAGCTCCACGTGTTAATGCTGCTTTACACCCCGCGGGTCCCCACCTGAAGGGGGAGTTGAAGCCCATCAGGCAGCGCAAACACCCACGACGCAGTCAGGCCAAAAGCATGTGTGCAGCTCTTACCTGTCGCTGCTTCAGGAAGTCCAGGGCAATCTGCACGTTCTGCAGCCGGTGGAAACGCATCCGGCCCTTCTCACGTGGCTGCAAAACACAGACAGCGGCTTCAGTTCGGTCGTCCAGGACAATAGAGAAAGGACTTCTCACGATGCACATGCACAGACCTCTGCCACCCCCCTGCTCCCCAACACAGCACCGGGAAATCCATGAACCCAGGCCCCCAGGGACCAGCTTCTGGCTGAAGACTGCGGGAGCCCATTCAAATCCAAGCAACAGTCTGTGTCCCCTCTGAGGCCTGAGCCTGACCGCTGCATCCAGTGTGTCTGCATGACATAGCACACATGCAAGGTGTTGCTTAGGACGGCCTCTCTGTGACGGCTGTGTCACAGGTGGATCTGGGCAGCTGATTCAGTCCTAGGGAGCACTGTCCGAGAGGCAGGGCAAGGGCCAGAGGACGCAGCAGGTGAAACGGTCACGTCACAAGGATTCACACTTCCCAGGCATGAGCTCTCTGCCCTGCTAATGGGGTCCCAGGGCCTCTTGCCTACTATGGGCTGCAGAACACCATTTCGAGCCATGCGGGGAAGTCTATCAGCACCCACGGTCTCCTCGATGTGGGCAGAGTTGGGCACACTGCATAGATTATCTCCTGCTGGGTCCTGAGCTGGGTGCTGACCCAGCAGGTCTACCTGCAGCCTCAGAATCCGTACCAAGCATCATTCCCTGACTTCCCCTAGCAGCGTCGCTTGCTCAAAATATCATGTCTCACACAGGTGCAGCCCCCCAAGGGCTCTAGCAGCGAGCCCAGCCCAATGCAGGGGGTGTGGGGTCCCAGGCACCTCTGCTGAGCAGTCAGCAAGACATCCTGGGACGGGGGAGAAGGCAGCTTGAGATGGAGCACTCCTCAAAAGACACCAACTAAGAGCAGGTGGGAGAGCCCTGCCCACGCGGGCAACAGCAGCAGTCTCCGCCTGGTCTCAAACCCTGTGCCAGCAGGTCTGCACTGCTCCGCTTGGTGGAGAGAGCAGGGCCCTACAGCTCTGTCTGCCTCCTGCTCCTGCTTTTTGTCTCTGGCCAGCTGCTGGGCTACTGCAAACCTGGCCTCAGCACGCAAGGAGAAGCTGCTACACCGGTCACTATATGGGAGCTGCCTAGGGAAAAAATAAAGCCCAACCACATTCAGCCCCACCTGCTCCCCCCCTTACACCACCCCAATCCACTTACTGAACAGCAGCTCCGTGCCCTGGCAGAGCTTGGGGAAAGGGGGGCAGCACTGCCGTGGGGCAGGCTCCAGCCTTGCTGCTGAAGCCCAGGAGAGCTGGCACGTGCCCCCCACTCTGCTGTGCCCATCGGGAAGGGGAAGGAAAGCGTGAGATGCATTGAATCTGCATTTGTGAATCTAAAGTTATTTTCTGTTGAGTGTTAATGGCAATGCATGTGCAGTTTTACTTCAAGTTCACAATATATTCTGCGCTTGCCCATGTGCCGGCACTTTTTCCCACGCTTGTGCCTGGAGTCATTTATTTAGGAAGGCCCTGAGACAATCGTAATATAACGGAGTTTGGGGATGAGGGTGTCGAAAGAGGTACCCGGTCTCCAAACCTTGCCTTCACCTTTGATGCAAGAGAGGGGTGTCGTGGGCCTGGGCATCTGCAGTCAGAGAGACTCACCTGCACCCTCCAAGATGGCACTAGGAAGCCCACTGCAAACACAGCATGTCTGCTCTGTGCCTGCTGGATCCCGAAACGGGTTGGCAGGCAGTCACCATGGGGTGGCATGGGACACGGGCCAAGAAGCAATGACTCAGGCAGTCCCAGTATTGCGCAAAGGCAGCCCCGTTCTGCCCACTGCAGGGTGCAGCAACATCAGGCATGGACCCTTGACCTCTAAGGAGGGCAATCAAGCTCTCTGAGTCAGCCAAGCCAAAGTCCTTAATTGGGGACCCGGCTCACAAGGAAACCCAGCAACAGGGAGGTCTTCCTGGGCTGCAGAAAGGCCGACCCCTGGGCAGAGAAGTGGCACCCGAAGACACTGCAGCTGACGGCAGCTTGAGAGCAGGGCAGAGGGATGGTCGGACAGAAGGAAATCACCCCCAGGACAGAGGGCGTGTTGGGGGGGGTGAGCTGGTAAGAAATGGGAGCCTCTCCACTGAAACCAGCCAAAATGCTTTTGTTCTCACTTCGGGGAGGCACGATCCCCTTTGGAGGAAACCTCAGTTGGGATCTGCCGGGCCCCCCACCCAGCTCTGCTCACGGGCCCGGGGCCACACTCTGCTGCCAGGACATTGAGAGCGCATCGCTTAAAAACCAGACACTTTGCAATCATGCAAGGTTAGTCCTCACTGCCTGACAACTACGCTACCATGCCCGGTGTGTCACACGAGGCAGAGGACCGCCATGCAGTGAGAGGTTAGCAAATGTCACAGGAGCCGTCCTGGAGGCCGCCTGTTCCTCCGAGCGAAAAAGAGCACGTCTTGCATCTGAGAGTGCGCAGGCCCCCAGGGGCTTGACCCTCGGGGAGCAGCCCCACAGGGCCTGCGGTTTTCCTAGCACTGTGCAGGCTGCCCCGAGTGACTGCATTCATGCTCTCACACCAAGTGGGCAGGCGTCCCCCCACTGCAGGCCATCAGCACCGAAATGCACTCCCAGATAATCCAGTCGGAAGGAATACGGGATTAAATGCTTTCAGCTCCAGTCATCCCCTTACACTCCCCACCCATCGGCTCGGCTCTATTCGAACCTGTTTCAGAGACAAAATGATTGCTCGCAACCAATTAGCTGGTAGCTGTTGAGCTGTGACCAATGTCCCAGGCTCTTTTTAGCAAAATCCCGTGTAAACCAGTGCAACCCACTCAGAGCCTGGTTACAACTGGACTATCTGATGGCACTTCAGTGTCAGTCACTATCACGCAGCTCCCAGGAGGGGGTTAACCTACTGCATCACCATCCTCCTCCTCCTCCTCACGCTCCTCACTGCTTGCGCGGCACCAGGAAGGCGCTCTCACCGGGCGAAGGGTCTTCTGACCTGCAGGCTCTTTGTGCTAGCGCAGGTGGCACAGACAACACCAACGGCAATGTCACGACAGAGAGAAAGAAACCAAAAAAAAAAAATCCAACCAAAGAGAAAGGATCTAAAATGCAGCAGGTGGGAAAAGAAATAATAAGTGTGTCCCTTGCCCGCTGTGCCAGCTGGGGTAGGAAAATGAAAGCCGGCTGGGTCTCCTGAACACTGCTTGTCCCTGTGGGGGCACTGCTAATAGAGTTGTCCCCACACGAGAAGCTGCCGACAGATGTTCAATTAAGGGCGCAATGGCCCTGATCCATGCATGGCAGGAAGGTGAGGGACCAGGGAATGGGATCCCTATGATGATCCCAGCCCCCGTCAAGGCTCCAATGTGCTCTAGATGTTGAAGGCACTGATCAGCTGAGTGGCTCTCCCACCCACGATGTGCTCCCCGAGCTGAGAGCGCCCGTCAACTGATTGGCGCTTCCAATCCCAGGACCGCAATGGCGCCAAGTTCAATTTCAGATGCGATGGGAACCCACCACAAAACTGCGACGCCTATTTTGTGTAAAACCAGTGCGGCTTGCTCCCTGTTTTACCCCACCATTAATTGCATGAACGTACTGAAGATGCAATTACCTGATCAATCATGCCTTGAACGTAGTATCTTCTAGGGGCCAGAGGCAGAGGGAAAGGCAGAGGCTGAAAGCAACTCCCAGTTGTGATGACATGCTTTATGTCAACTGCCAGCTGCTGGGTCCAATGCAGGGGTGCCGAGAGGGAACTCAGCGCCCCGTGTTACGCAGCAGCTCAGACCAGGAGACCTCGTAGCCTCTGTTGGCCTTAAGATCTATGACTCTACGAACGTTTAAGGCAAAGTTTGGGAGAAGCTTCACTTCTCCTTAGCATGGCCAACAATAATGAACTATCTACAACAAACTGGTCAATACGCCTAAAGGATAATTCCCCACCATGGTTTAATTCATCATTGTTCATGTTGCCCTCCCGGTCACCTGCCCCAGTGATGGTTGGTCACTACCGGATCAGAGAATCATAAATTAGGGTTGGAAAGGACTTCAGGAGGTCATCTATTCCAGTTCAGCATTGAGGTGACAAATAAACCAGATTTTACTGGAGAGTGATTCGACCTTCCCTTGCTACGTCAACAGGATCTTGTGTACAGGCTGCCTAAACCGAGACTGCCCTTGATCATAAAACTCTGCAAGTGGAGCCATCTGGCTTAGAAGCGCCTAACCCCAATTTTCCAACACCCACAAACTGTAATCTGGCATCACCAGAGGGAACCCAGCGAGTCAATGCGCTCTCATACATGCTATTCAAGGGTTACTGATGTAACAGCCCCGGTGCTGCACAAGGGGGGATTTTCCGAGGGTTAAACGAACTCGCTTGGTCTCCAAAGTGATCCTTCTATGCCCACCATGCAAGAGAAGATGTTTGCTGCCTGGAAAGCAATTTCCGCTTACATGCCCATCTCCCATGCCAGTTAGCACATGAGAGGACAGGCTACCACACTGAAGGGGACGGGCAAAAAAACAAGGAATCTAGCAAGCCTGTGAACTGAAAACTGGATTAAGTAGGAAACACTGAGGGGAGCTGAAGCAGCCCCACAGTGAAACAGCTCAGGACAGAGGAACACCTGCACGACACCCAGTCCAGCTGATTTTCAAGGTTCAGGCAGGGCTTGTAAGAGACTGAAAAACCAGGCAACTGGCTGGCCGTGCTGGGAGCGGCACCCAGCTTCCCCATGGTAATGGTCAAGTGGGCGTCACCAAAAAACAGGGCTCGTTACTGAATTATTACCGAATTAAGGAACTATGCTTAAAGATAGTCCCTTAATTATGTTTCATTATGGGGCTGGGCTAGATGACCTTGTGAGTTCCCTTCCAGCCCTACTTTCCTATGCTCCTATGAATATTAATCAAGATAAAGAATGTCTCCAAGTACGACCTTCTAACACAGACAGGCCCGGACTGCATTCCCAAACCTCTGCCAAGACAGGGGCTGGCACATCACAAGCGTCTGAATCATGCTCTATCCCCATCTGCACTAACTGGATAAACTGTTGAAAACTGTTAGCGGGAACCTTGACTCGTTATCTAAACACAGAGAAGATAGACCGTGCTGTACAAGGAGGAATGCAGCAGAAGAAGTGCTGTTTCCTCGTCTGTTTGGAGGCCCCACGTAGGCAGGGATCACTGGAGAGGGAAGCATGCCACGTGATTGTGGAAGGGGTCTCCTTTGACATTTATGCATCCTTCAAGCAGTACTTGAAGGACGTGCGCATCTACCGCAAGCACTAGATAAGGGCATTTTTCAAGCAAATAGCACGCTTTGATGGTATCCAGGAGACCAGCTGGACGAGGGGATGTTTCAATGAAGAGATTTGAAAAAAAAAAAAAAAAAGTGAATGAAAACCAAAACCAAAGAAAAGCCTGGATGTGAGAAACGAACACTGATCACCCTATGCTCAACCAGAGGCAGAGAGGAGGAAGGTGCAGTAAGAGGATCCAATCTCTGACGGTGAACGCAGCAGCAGCAGCGTGGGAACTCACCAGTTTCACACCCGACAGGACCTCCAGCAGAGAGATCAGGTTGTGGCCATCTCGCAGGTCCTCATACAGGTCGTTGATGTGCTTGCGCACCTGCGGAGCAGAAGAGGACGACATATTTTCAGGGATCTGCCACCGCCCCTGAGCCAGGGGATTACTCTATCACAACAGACAAGAGATGCAGACACATAAAGAGCACCACAGCGACGTAGCTGGCGCTTCGACAATAAATGTGTCACCGGTTTCAGTCACATCCCAATTAATCACCTCGGGAATGAGACACCGACCCGCCAAAGGACCTGGTAAGAGTTATGGTGGCAGACACACGACAGATCACTCTCGAGGTGCCTCAGCCTTGTGCAATTCTAAAATGCTCGCACGCCGCCCCTTTGCTATCAAAGCGGGTTGTGATTAAAGGACGGCAGCTTGGTGCTGGATTGGCCTTGGCCATCAACCGCAGGGTCAACTTCAGGGTCTTCTCAACTACTGCCAGCCTTTTACAAAACTAAAAAGTCACTGGCAACATGTTTCAACCTTTAAGATAACCTGCGAGGAGGTTCATCTTTGTCGCCCGCTCGCTGAGACTGCGGAGAGAAGTCGTCACTTCCCAGCCCCGCAGCACACGTTCTTTGTGACTCTGGATCAGTCATTTACCATGTGAACGTACAGCACCTTGCACAGTGGGGTCCTGATTTCACATGCCTGCCCTAAAACATGCTACCAGTAACAACAGGCAATTGATTCTCAAAACAGTTACTGCATCTTATTTCCCTCTGGGCACAGGTGGGTATCCTCCCAGGGGCAAAGGCAGATGGAAGCAGGTTGACTGTGTCCCTCTAAATGAATGCATTTGGCACAGGCGATGTGCCCTGTAGAGGCTCGAATCCCAGGCTCCCGTCTTCACCCACTCGAGCGGGGTCTACTTCAAGTGCTTTATTCTAATATAGTAACAATCCCAGGATGACTTCACAGGCAGGCAGGGAGCGGGCCGTTGTACGGCTGCTGAAGCTTAGGGAAAGGAGGGGTGGTGCTGGGCTATTCGCGTACAGGTCTGCAATTTCCCCAGTCTCGCCACAGCAGCACGACGACACCTCCTAAGTCTGAGCCAAAAACCTTTCCACTGATGCCGGATTTAATTTAAAAATGCCTGGCAGGTCTCCAAGACAAGGGGGAGGCACCTTGAAACACAGCAATAATCCTGTTCAATCACTCAAGATTAAAAAAGCTTCGTTCCAAACGTGGCAGGAACACTCACAGGAGCTAACGAGCAGCTCGGCAGGGATTCAAATCCAGCAAGTTTTCATGTCCAAACCAGCTGCATGTGCCACAGGTCATGTGAGTGCCCCTGCCCCTGCCATGGGGCACATAAGTGAGGTGCGGGCATGTTGGTAACAGGCTGTATCCTTTTGGCAATGACTGCACAGACCTCCAGAAGAACCTACACCTGCCAGGGATGGGATGGGTCACCTGGTCTAGTCCCCTGCATTTGCCATTTAGTCCCAGAAAACACCCACGCCAGCCCCTCCTGCACACCATAAAGTACAGAGCCTGGAGACCTCCCCTAGGCAAGATTAGCTTTGCTCTGGACCTGGCGTTTCTTGTGCGGAAACAGGACCCCAGCAAATATGCAATGGCATGACTCAATAAGCAAGGCCCCCTGCAGGGATAGAGTCCTTGGACCCCTTCCCACTTCTTGCAGACACAGCCTGGCACAAATTCCTGGGACCAGAAAGCTCACTCAAAACACCCTTGGTGCAAGAAGCAGGCAGGTATTAGAGAGATCAGCCAGGGCTGCAGGGACTGGCCAGGCTCTGGATCATAGCCTTTCAGGCAGGAAGGAAGGATTGCAAAAGGCAAGAAATGAATTATGCAACCTTTGGATCTCAGCCTCTTCTAAAGCCCCCAGCTCCTCTTGAACCCTCACTCCCCGTCACCGGCATCAGAAAGGATGAGCCCCGAGTTTGAGGCCACACCAAATGCAAGCTCCAGGACCTTGCAGGAGAAAGGCGAGAGAAAGGAGGGGAGAGGGGGATGCTGAAGAGCAGCAGAAAGCTCAGTGCAAAGGGAGGTTTCCTGCTACTGTTTGCCATGGTCATGTGCGGCTGTGGGTCTGGCTGCCTTCCCATCCCTAACAAAGATGCAATGTTTTCCTTGCCCTGTCTCCCTCTCCCCTGGCCCTCTGTCATCAGGCTGGGCTCCGGGAAGGATCCAACAGGCAGCACCAGCTACTGCTGCACAGCCACTAAAGGACTTCTTGTTCAAGCAAGAAAGAGGCTTCAAGAGCTCTGAGCCAGGGGGACAGGGGCCAAGCCTAGCAATGTCCCCTTCTCTCCAGGAAGGAGCAATCTCAGCCCTGAAAGGCAGACAAGCACCGGCCTCTGCAAAGAGCAGGGGCAGCAGGAGAACAGTAAAGCCTAGCTACGTGAATACCAGGGCAGAAGGGGAATGAGCTTGTTCGAAAGGCAGTCACCAAGCCACCACGTGCACGGTCACTCGAGGTACCACCTGCACCCTCTCCTCGCCCAGGGATGGACTGGGGAAGGGAGGAGCAAGCTGGGCTCTCTCAGGGTGTTTGCTGTTGCAAAGACTCTCAAATGCCTTGCCCCGATGCACGATTTTCCCATTAAGAGGTAAATGCGATGGCACACGAGAGCTCGCCTGATGTTTCAGTGCTCTCCGAAGCGCTGTGAACATCCACTGGCATATCGGCATCCAGAGGGCAGCACTAGCCCACTACTCCAGGACGGAGCGCGGCCAGCCCGTTCTGGGCCAAACCTGGCACAGACAGACCAAACCATGTGCAGTACAGTGACTCTTACCTTCATCAGGTGCTTATTGACCCACTTAGTGAAGGTTTTCTTCTGGACTCGGTCCCGTTCATCTGGGAAGAGAGCACAGAGAGGCATTTGGGTTAGAGTCATTAGTGCAACTGCAGAGAGCTCCCTACGGCCACCACCTCGGATCATGGTACTGATTGTAAGGACCCCTGCCAGGACCCTACAGAAGACTTGAACCCCACACTGGAGGGGACACTGCTGATTCAAAGCTTAGACAGGGACAGCATGGCAATCAATCTGTCCTCTTGATACCCAGAGTGCAAGAAAAAGTACTCAATAAAGTCCCGTTTCCTCTATTCTCCCAGCCACCGTCAGTCCTCCCCTCTGCCCAGCCGCGCTTAGAGCCACATAGCAGTAACTATCCCAAGCACTTCACCTGGCGAAATTAAATATCCAGATACTTCAAAAAGTTCCCCAGACAGCCAAGAACAAGTTCAACCGGAGTGGAAGATGCTCAGACTGCCACAGCGGGGACAACCCACCTGTTTCCCACGCGGCACGGCAAGGGCATGGGCAGAATTTCTAGCCCCTAAGCTAGAAATTACCTTAAAAAACCCACCTCCCCTAAGCTGCTCCTTCTGCCAGGCCTGTTTCTGAATGAGCAGCAGGGGAAGAGGACAAGCGGCTATCGGGAAACAAGACCTGCCCTTCATAATGCAGCTGAAAGGCTCGCCACCTTCCCCCACGCGAAGATACAGGTAACAGCGACACAAAGGGCACAGGGCACCTTCTCCCCATCCCGGCCCAGGCCTGAGGCAGGTCATACCAGCACCAGGGCAACCTGGAAGCCACAGGGAGATTTTGCAAGACTCGCAGACCCTGAACCCTCATTATCCTGTGCCGCCATGCCATAAGGGAGCCACTGGGAAGGCGAAGAAGGGATTACTCCAGCGTGGCCCCCTTGGAAGCAGCTGGATTCATCTACCCCCTTCCCCCTGTCCCAACCCTCTTGAGAAGGCAGGTTGCAAAGGTCACATAAAAACCACGGCTGCCTGGTAAAAGACCCTGCTTAATTCTGACCGTAAACACAGTTAGCAGCTTATTCCTTCACTGTATTTTCGGTTCATGGGATTTTCAGGGTTTACTGCTTATTTTAGTCCCTCGGCTCAGCCGAGGGCACGTCTGGGTTCCCGAGAGCTTCGATGTCCTGGTGTTCAG